ACCGACCTCCCTTCTGCAAATCTGCTGCAATCAAAGCTTTTCCCCAGCCCTCCAGCTCTCCAACACCACCAGGCTCTCCTTTGTATTTCAGAAGGTCACCCGACAGCAGTGCTGGATCAAGCTCTACCCTGGTATAACTTCCCCATTCTCCAGAAGCTGAAGGGCTCTCTGTTTGCATTGTTGTTTTGTTTTGTTTTTCCTCCAAACCAAGGGGGATTCACTTAATTCATGAGCTTATATCAGCTCGGGTTTGGATGCCAGCATGCATCTGCATGTCTAGGCAGAGCTTCTCCAAACTGCCTCAAAGCTGTGAGCTTACAGACACTGTGTACTCAGAGCATATTCTAATTCCGTATTTACATTAGACACCACTCCAAATTATTAGCTGTCAGTCGCAGTTTCCAGTTAGTGAGCAGGGGAGGCTCAACTTAGCACGTCCGCGCTTCCCATCGGAACTGAGTATGCTCTTTTAATAGGCTCCCTGGCCTCTACTAAGTGTATATTTGTTGTTGCTAACCAGATTAACAAATCTCAGTGTATTTTGTTGCTGCTTTCTTGCATAAATCAGGAAGAGCAAGGACAGCTTTGTCTGATGCCCTGAATTAGAAGAAGGGCATGACAGCAAAGCGAGCGTGAAAGGAGGGCCTGACTCGCTTTGTATTTAATGCATCCATTAAAATCAGAGGCCCGCGCTTGATGAGCCCGTACAAGACGCGGCGTCTAATCGGATGACACGGCTCTGCGGAGGCTGCCGGCTCTGCCCCGACAGCTGCACCCGGTGGAAGCCAGACGGATTTCTCACCCTTCGGAGCTCCGCTCTCGTCTTAAAGGGCGCCCGGGTGGCAAAGCTTGGGGACGAGTCCTGGGTATCCGTGAGCGCCCTTCCCGGAGCTGCTCCCATTCCCCACGCGCAGCACGTCCTGCTCTGTGTGCTGTGCAGTTTCCATGACTCTGGCACCACGCGTCTCACAAAAACCAAGCTGCTGAGATGGTCTGTGTGCATTCGTCACTACCTTTTCATTATCCTTAATTAAATTCCAATACTACACCACAGTATTGCAGCCACTTTCATTACTTTATGGGCTGAAGCGGGGAAAAGAAAGCAATTACTGTATATCATAGCCTTGCCAGAATGCATTTTCAAGACGACACTTGATTTTTTGCTTTCTTAAGCTGCAGATATGTAAGGAGCCTCCTTCCCCAGCAAATATCCCCAGGACCCAGACCCTGATCCTGCCAGAAGCAACGGCAACGCTCCAGCTCCTTCGCCTGGTGCCAGCTACAAATATAGCTTGGCGGATACAGGAGGGAGAAGGAGAGTGTGTGTCACCAGGTGGCCTGGGAAAGCCACTCTTTTCTCCTCACAAATGTCCCCATATGTGTCAAGAACGGGCACGGCCTGGTGCACGCGAGGGTGAGAGGCGGGCGCCCTCCTCACTTGCTCCAGCCCCGTGCTCCAAGGCAGGGCGCGGCACTGGCTACTCCCAGAGGCTGAGGCTGCTTTTGCCACCTCCATTTCTCCCTTATCCTTCATCCTTTCTCCCCTGCAGCTGCCTCCAGATGCCATTCCCTTTGGGCGGATGGGAGCAGTGGGAGGAATGACCTCCCCAACATGGCGGAACCAGCAGCGCCGCCCTCACAAGATGTCGGGAAGAAGCCTTTTCTCGACCTTCCCAACATGGCGGCCCGGCCCGCCCCGCCCCCCGCG